CAATGGATAAACAAGTTCGATTAACACAAAAACGTAACAAGACAAAACAAATAACAAAATCGTTCAAAGCTTTAATAACCACAGAACCATACCTTTCAAGAACAAAACCTTTAGAGCTTGGTTAGGAAGCGTGAGAGACGATGCTCCGGCAACAGAGGGTAGAGGGAGGATCAGATAAACCGATTGTGAACCCCTTAGACAAATTCATTTCAAAACTTAGGGTTTTCAAAAAAAAGCGCAAATCATGGTGAGATAGAGCAAGAGAGTGATTTGTTCATGAGATTAGGAAGAGGCGGGGGGTGAGATGGTAATAGAGATCAGAGATGAACAAAATTGGAAGAGAGGGACGAAAGAGATGAACGGCGCCGCTGTGTGCAAAAAGGGTCTCAGAACCCTAATTTTTGTTTGCACCCTTAATCAAACAAACTAAATTGGCTTAAGACATTGGGCCTGTTTCGTTTGCAAACCCTGAAGCCCATGCGCATTTTCGCTAGTTCACCCCCCCCCCCATCTGGCCTTGTTTTGTTTCAACAATAACACCATTCCTCTTTGGGCTTTCTCCCCAAATCTCCCTAAGCCCATTGTTACTTGTTTTTTTTAAATTTAATTTATTTCTTTTTTTTGTTAACAATATACTAATAAAACTTAAAACTTTTTTTATTAAATTAATTTAGATTTTAGTGTTTAATTTTTATCATTTTCTCTTTTTTATATAACTTGTTTTGATTAATTTTTTACACTTAATAAAAACATCAAAAAGTTAACTTAGTTGGTTTTCTTTCTTTAAATTTATTTGCATAATTAATAAAAAATACAAAAAATAATAATAAAGATTTTTAATTTAATCAATTTTTTATAATAGGTTTTATTTTTCTCTTTTCAAGTAAATACATACATTTCATACTTTGTTGACTTTATTTCATAAATTGTCATAGCTTTATATTAAATCGCACAACAATTCGATTTAGTTGTATTGTTTGATATTTGGACATTGCTATTTTCATTTGATTCATCCCCATTTGTAACAATTGTACCCCCATTCCCGAATACTTTTGTAATAGCGTAGAATTTCAATTCCCGCAATTTACTGTTTTCCATATACTGTATAGTAACTAGGCATGTATGGAAAGATTCAAAAATCAATCGCTAGATGACCTAATCCAAGAATAAAATAACTTGAAACCAACACACTTTTTCACACGCGCACCTCTAGGGTAACCTCGCTCGTTGCCTCGGAAATACAATCATGTCCCTCGAATATGAGACACTCTAGCAATGCCCTTTCGATAAAAAAGATCGTAGTCCCTCGATGACCCTCGATGTTGCCTTCGATTAAAATGATCTCGTCCCTTACAAAAATTGCTAAAGCGTCTCACAAGTTGCCTTCAATGATTGTAAAATTGACCCGTGCCTGTCCCTTCACGTCCAATGATGGGGCTTCTTACCAAATCAATGGTAAGATAGCACCATTAAAAGGAAGAAGAAAAGAACAACTTAAGACCTTTCGAGTAGATAGATTCGCTCTTAGTTACTCGCTTGCTCACGATAAAAACTTTACACCTACACCTCCATTTCAAAACATTTTCAAAAGACAAAATGTTTTGTATACGTTCTTATAGAGACGAGAACCATTGCAAAACCTCTTTTCAAAACACTTTTCAAAACACGATTCACAAACACCTCTTTGAACCATTTTTCGAAACAAAACTTTGTATACATTCTTATAGAGATGAGAACCATTACAAAAAGATTTTTCAAAATACTTTCAAAGCCCACACCACAAGCACACAATCAAATGAAAGCAAGTGATCTAAAATAAGTAACTAAGAGTCCATGGAAAAACATGGATGAAAAGGGTGCTAATACCTTCCCTTTTCATGATCTACCCCCAAACCCGAGAAATAATCTCGAAAGGTCTTTCCTGTGCTTTTTTACCTTTCCTTTTGGATAAAAGAAAAGTCGGTGGCGACTCTTGCTAACCACACAAGTGCGAATGAAACGCAAAACTTCAAGTCAGTTCTCCTACCGTATCACAAATGTGTTTGGCATGATCCCGAGTATATGGCTTCGAGTCTTTATGAAGTTGCGAGGTCTTCCCTCACATTTAATTGGATGTCGTTGTGACAAAGAAATAGGGAATATAAATTTAATATGTTTTTGATACATGCTTTGAGGTATTTGGCATGATCGTGAGTGCATAATTCTAGATCTTTATGAACTTATGAGGTCTTCTCTCAAAGTTTATTTGACATCATTGGGGATGTTCCTGGTCAAGGGTCAGTTCCCCTTCCCCTACTAGATGAAAATCTGGTCAGAGGTAGACGCATGGCCAACCCACCATATCATCTATAGTGTCTAGCTGCCAAGTGGGGGTGGGTTGTTATTGCATATGTAAGGTTAGTTGTTTTAGTCAGATGTATAAAGTTTCCCCGACAAATCTATGACTTTATGTGGAGAATCGATTGCTTTAACCAGACGTATAAAGCGTCTCTGGCAACACCTCTAACTTTATATGGACAATTGATTGCTTTATCCAGACATATAAAGTGTTTTCGACAACACCTATAACTTTATGTGGGGAATAGATTACTTAAGTCAGATCTACAAAGTGTCTCAAACAACATCCATGACTTTGTGTGTTGGGTATCGATAATTTTGGTCGTACTCCGAGTTTCCATGTTACTAAGCACAATCATAGAGAAAATAGTGGCTTATAAAACAACAAATTATTTAGATAGTGGTAACAATATATGCATACAAATGAAAAATGATTGAAGCATAATATTTGGTATGATTAAAAAATAGGAAACACAACTAGGCGAGATGTTCGTCGCTTATTTGTTTGTTATTTATGGCCTATTTAGCCACTTTTTGGAGGGTGAATGCCCATCATGTTTATTTGATTTATGAAGGAAATAATGTTGAGCTCCTTGGCTATGCCTTTTCCTTGATTTTTTTAGAGATCCTAGTATATTCTTTTCGTCCCTTCTAGACCGGCGCCGATGTGGCTGGCTCTCCATGCATATTTTGATATTTGAGATATGAAGGGTCGTCCCAAGATGCAGTTGTAAACACTCCTTTAAGGAATAACATGGAAGTGAGTATTTAACGTTCAAATGTATCTACCATCACCCATAAAAACCATCAGCTCTGTATATCCCCATGGACGAGTAGTGGTCTCGTTAAAGGCTTGAAGATTGAAACCCACATACGATAGTAGGACGCTTCAATCCATACTTTTTAAATAACTCCAAGTATATTGTCATAAGAGCTTATGCGGTCGATAAGGATCTGAGACATATTAAATTGTCTGACTGTAGCAATGATTACAAGGGGAAAGATTTGTTGGGAATGCCCATACATTTTGTAGAGTCCCAAAATCCCAACATATGATGATTTGGGATCTTCATCGACGTATTCTCTTCCATATTGCAGGCAACCATCATTTCTGCGACTTTCCTCTTCATAGTGCCCTAAGATGGGAGGTTTGCTCGACGTGTTCCTTCTGTTATGGTAGTAGTGTAGGGGCGCTTGCCTTTGCTTGTGTTTTTGTTCTCCCCGGTTGTAATAGTCTTTAAGGGGGATTTTCCCCTAGGAGACTTTCTCTATCTTGATTACTTCCCATCACGTACTCAGCTAGTCTTCCTCTTTTAATCATCTTTTCGATGACATTTTCAGTTAGATATAGTCGTCGATGTTGTTTTCGTAACTCTTATGAAACCCACAGTATTTTGACATGTTCGTCAGAGATATCTTTTTGACGGGATATGAGGGTCAAATTCATGCCTTCTGAAGCTCTGTGTTCACGCATTCTTGATAGATTCTCTCACGGGAGACCATTAGCGGGGTGTATCTATCATACTTTCTTTGCATGTTTCAATTAGAATCATATCGACATCAACGAGGCTCTTTCACGAACGAGCGACCAAAGTGAGACTCACTAGACACAAGGTTATCAAAATGTATGGTCAATTTCTCTTTCAAGATCCTGAAAGGTTTGGCTTGGTCAACATCTCTTGGACAAATTTGACCTTGTTCTATCCCAACTTTTGTCTGAAAGGGTGGTCGTTAAGAAGGTTGTTTTCTAAAATCCAACATTGAAGGCCTTCTTGAGCCCCACCTACCTCAATTAATACTTGCATAAACTGATCGATATATGACCGCAAGCTTTATTTTTTCCTTAGAATGATCCTGGTCAAGGCAGCCTCGGTGATCAGATGTTGCTCTCGGGCCGTGAATTGCGCCGAAAATATCTTACGAAACTACTGCTCCAAGACCTAAGGCGTTTTGCGGTTGAGGAAGAGGCAATTGATTACTTGATGCTAAGGCAGTGGCGACAACTTTGTCGTGCAAAGTCAAATTTGATAGCCTTAGATCCGTCCATCTCTGTTGAAGGTGAAAATTGCTAATCTGAATCTTGAAGAGACGAAACTGAAATTGTGTTTAGTCGAATCACGACACAATATATCTTCGCGTTCGATTACGAGTACTTGTTCGATGAGGTGTTTTTGTCAACAACGTATGCGATCTATTTATACACATTTTAAATCATCATGACCACACAAAACAACCAGTGCAATCACAATCCTACAAAAGTGTCAAAAAATCGTAACCGTTCAAAATTAACACTACCAAATTTTAATGGGTGTGGAGAAATATTCGATGAAAAAAAAACAATACAACTTTTTATACACACCATACATTTCAAAAACATCGATAAAAACCTATACTAAATTTTTTGTATAAACTACTGGATTTTTTGCGACTAAAATAAAATGTTGCAAGATGTAATTAATGAAAAAGAAAAAGAGAATATTTTTGGTATTCTCAAAATTGAGGGAGGTGTGAGTTAAAATTCTGAAAATTCCTTTAGCTTTTCTAAAAAAGAGACAGCCCAGCCCAAACATAAGAATCAATTATAATAAACCTCGCTTTCTAGGGTTTGTATCCATAGCCAATACTTGACCGGCGCGGTAGAGTTTCAACCAAAACCAGAAACCATGGGGCGTATGCATAGTAGCGGGTTCGCATCTCTTCTTCCATTCTCATCTCAACCTTGTTCCGTTTGTGTTGATTTCATCAAGTTGATCGATTTTCCGTTTCTTTGATTGCAGTAAGGGTATATCCTCTTCCGCTTTGCCGTACAGGCGAACTTCTCCTAGCTGGCTCAAGATCTCTTCACAAGATGTAACTAACTCAGCATTACATTCTTCTAATTCTTCATCCACATTGCAGTTTTGATGATTTGGATTTTTTTTTTCAGGTTGATGAAAATATTTGCAAGTTCGCTAAGAAGGGTTTGACTCCTTCTCAGATCGGTGTTATTCTCCGTGATTCTCATGGTATTGCTCAGGTCAAGAGTGTTACCGGTAGCAAAATCCTCCGCATTCTCAAAGCTCATGGTATTTTTATATGTGTTGTTTTGGTTTGTCTTCAATTGAGATTGCATTTGGGGTTTATAGTGAATGGGCTCAAAAATTAGGTTTTTTATTGTAGAAACTAAGATTATATGTAACACTTGAATTTATTGATTCAATGTTTTGATTGTTGGTAGGACTTGCTCCTGAGATTCCCGAGGATCTATACCATTTGATCAAGAAGGCAGTTTCAATTCGCAAGCATTTGGAGAGGAACAGGAAGGACAAGGACTCTAAGTTCAGGCTCATTCTTGTTGAGAGCAGAATCCATAGGCTTGCTCGCTATTACAAGAAAACTAAGAAGCTTCCCCCTGTGTGGAAATAGTAAGATTTTTGGACATTATGTTTTCTATGAATTTTATTGTTTGTTATATTTCATTCTGCTTGTCGTATAGATTCAACTGCATTTCTAGTTCTAGTTTTTCTATTTTGGAACAAATGGGACAAGTTATCCTTGTCTATGTCATAAGCCAAATTAATGTTTGAATATATGCATTTTGCAATTTATATTATAGTACACTTTGTATTTTGAATTAATTTTACTTGTGTATGGACTATTTGAAATAAAAATTAAGTTTTGGAATGCTTTCACAAACTTTGTGGACCTAGATTTCATTATTAGATACACGACGTGATAATGAGGTATGTCTAGTAAAAAAGAAGTAATAATCATAGGAAAAAGGAAGTGGAAGGAAAATGTTTTAAACAATTAGCTTTCTCCCTTTGTTTGAATTAGGATCATTTTAAATTGGCATCCCATAAAATGGTGCATCAAAACTTACTATGGTTTTATGTTGCAATAAATTTAACTATTCCATTTTGAGGTATGTCTAGTAAAAAAGAAGTAATAATCATAGGAAAAAGGAAGTGGAAGGAAAATGTTTTAAACAATTAGCTTTCTCCCTTTGTTTGAATTAGGATCATTTTAAATTGGCATCCCATAAAATGGTGCATCAAAACTTACTATGGTTTTATGTTGCAATAAATTTAACTATTCCATTTTGGGTCTAGTATTAGTCCTCTGGATAAATTGCTTAATATCCTTCCCATGGGTTCATTTTCTTTCATGTTTTTCACAGTTTAATCCCGAGTTAATACCCTGCCTTCTTTGGCTGAATTTAAGCTTGTTTCTAAGGGAGCCTAGTTAGAAATGATTTTCAACTAAGTCCTTATTTTTATTCTTGTCTGTTTTTTTACCAAATGTGAAGTTATTTTCATTCTAATATTGTTTGACACTAACTATATAGTTACCCAAGCACATACTACTTTTATTGGTTTATTCTGTTTGTTACCAATGGTTTTGCAGTTAGTTCTGTCATATTGTATGTTTGATTAATATGCATGATATTTTTGCTCAATAGTCTATTAAAATTTGGTGTGTATGCTTGCAGTATTTTCTTTTGTACTTTTGTTAAACTGCAAATGTCTGAAAGATACTTTCTACACATCAAGGACCCGAATGTATTTTACATCCTTGTTCATTTACATTCCTACTATCCTCCAACTGCAACTAATGACTTTTGACATTTGCAGTGAATCAACAACTGCCAGCACTCTAGTTGCTTAAAGATTGCATGTGCTCATGTTTGATGGGTTCTGGTTGCTCAACTGTCAATCTGCTGGGACATTTAGATGTTAGTCCGGAGTTTAGACGGACCATGCAATTTCTTATTTTGTTGAGAACCTTTGATTAAGCAGAGATATTATTTTACATTTAGTGTGTTTTAATCTATCAACAGCTTAAAGTTATTTTAAACAATTTTCGTATTTCTGCATTCTTACACGTCTGTGATGTCTGCATTCTTCTATTTTTATTGTGAAATAGACCCTTTTTAAAGTGCTCTAGTGGTCTTTTTAAAGTGCTCTAGTATTTGTCTAACGGATGAATAGATTAAAATATAACACAATAAATGCTACTTTTGTAATTTAATCTGCGACATGTGAGTATATAATTGATATGTACATATGGATTATTCTACTCATTGTATGATAGAGCATTTGTGCATAAGTGAATTGAAAAATAAATTTAATTATAAAAATCACTCAAAATCAATTATTGTGACATAAATTATAAATTTTAGTTTTAAGTAGAATTAATTATTTAATCAGAATCAATTCTACTTTTGCCTAACCATATCATCTCAAAATCACCAAAAATCAATTCTATACTTCAGCAACCAATTTTAGACTTTACTTTTGTACACTAGCAATATCAAATTACTAAACGAAGATGTTATTTTGTAGACACAATAGCAAATTACCAAATGTATACGTTGTTCAAACCTATCCATGCATATGGTATTATGTTATATTAAAATGACAGATCAGCTCTATGAACAGTCAAAATAGAAAACTAAAAATGTAATGAAGCTTAAAAATTATATGAAACAGGAATAAAAATATAAAACAACAAATCAGATGGTGTAAACTAATCTCATGAGTCGGACATTTTTGTTACCTTGAGAAACTGGGTTGAAAGTCGTCGAAAAAATGTTAAACTTCTGTTTTTTTAGTTGTGCATATCTCTAGTTTACTCCCTTTCCTTTACACAGAAGATGAAAACACAGAACATTCAAAATGAAATAAGAATGGTAAAAGATGTCTCATCTAGTATCATCTTGCTTTCCTCTCACTACAAAACAATTAAATTTTTGCACATGTTTGTTTCTCCGTGGAAGCTTCTAGTTTTCATGTCAAAATGTCATCAAACCGTGGGATGGAGCAGAATAAAACTATACCAAACAAATGTCATGAGTGGGGTGGCGGAGAACAAGACATACTCTTACAGGTTACAGCCTACTCGAGGACTCTGAGAAATAGCAAGGGTGAAGTTATAGATTTGGATGCATTGATATTCAATCCAAATCCTCATATAAGCCAATAAATCCCTTTGACCTTTAAAGCAAAGATACCATTACAGTGGAGAGGTAAATAGAAACACAAGAAGAAAAAAAAGTTGTCATGGAAAGGGGTTAGCACCACTGCATAGTCTGGCCACCCTCATCTGTCTCGAGAGGTAGGTTTGTTTACGGGAATAGCCTTTTGATAAATTCATGCCTGTAAATCCAAGGCTATTTTTGGTTGTTAAGAATATGCCTATATGTCTGCATTTGAATCACCTCAGAAAGGACCCGTTTCTTATATTGAATTAATTAAATCAGCAGACCAAGAATATGCAGCACCTTAAATGACAACAGTACATGAACTGATACAGATTTACTAATTATCATTCTGAGCGATGTATCCCCATCCATTTCATAACAAAAATATTCTTTATCTCCCATTCATCAACAAGCACGGATAGGTGAAGCAAGTTCTCATGTGGCAGCATATATGCCAGGTTGAACTGTCACCACAGGCTTACACACAGAGTTGGGTGTAGCCCTGTAGTCTGTACAAATACCAATACAGGCAAACACTCCCAGTCTCAACTAACACGCAGGCCAGATATCTATGTAAATGAGGATTGTATACCAGACTAATCTCCAAGAGGAAAACATTAGGTTTCTTAAGGAACATTACATCCCGTAAACAAACTGGTTTAAATCTACAACACAGCATAATGAGATCGTAATTTAAACCTACAACATGATAGGTAAGGTTTAACCATACAAAACCTAAACATAAATTAACCCCAAAGAAGAGCTCTATAGATGTTTTGGGGCTAACCATACTTCCAGAAATTTTTGATCATATAAACAAAAATTCACTTGGTAAGCCCAGGGTTTGACTAATTATTCCAAAATTCACTTGGTAAGCATAGGATCTGACAAATCATTTATGCATAAGGTTTTAATTGCAGCTCACAATCCGCCACAGCACAAGGATTCCAAGGTTCTAGAGATCAGTGTAACCGCATCAGTGACAATCTTAGTTCAAAGGTTTTAAATGCCATTGTAAACGCATCACAACACATTATCATGCAACACAGGGTAACCGAAATTTAAAAATTTTGCGTTGATGGAACATAAAAAGTCTATTCAGTGCCTCAATTACTCAATAAAACTGTACAATGGTTAACATGAAAAGTCATACATAGGAAGATTAAAGTCCATCAAATATAAAACTAAATGAAAAAATAAAAGACCGTAATACTATATACTAGTTCTTCGCCTCAGTTCCCCAACACAATTGGCACACTGCATTCATATAAGGAATAGAAACAAGGGAATTGTACATTACCCAATACTATCATGCAGTAGAACAGAACAAAAGCAAAACACAGGAAATCAAATCACCAAACACTTTTGTTCTTTAAAGGAGAGTAAAAGTCAAGATACCACCTCACAAATTTCTTGAGTCCACTCTCCAAATCAGTAGTAGGCATATAACCAAGCTCCTTTTGCGCCCTACTTATATTCGCATGGGTAAACTTAACATCCCCATTTCTCGGCATCGGCATCACCTTCCTCTTCACCTTCACATTCAAAAGCTTCTCCAATATATCAACAAGCTCCGTAACCGGAACCGGCGAAGTATTCCCCAAATTAAAAATCCTATACTGTGCATTCCCCTTCTTCTTTCCATCAACACCAAAACCAGTACTCTTCTTCGCGGTATCCAAAGCCCCTAAACAACCCTTCACAATATCATCAATGTAGGTAAAATCTCTAGCAACACTTCCACCATCCGGGGATTCAAACACAGTAATATGTTTCCCTTTCAAAATATCCTTAGTGAAAAAGAAATAAGCCATATCAGGACGACCCCAAGGACCATAAACAGTGAAGAACCGCAAACCAGTAACCGATAGACAATAGATATGATTATAAGCATGTGCAATTTCCTCACCAGCTTTCTTCGTAGCCGCATACAAACTCGCCGGTTGATCAGTCCGATCCTTTTCCGAAAACGGAACCTTCGAATTCAACCCGTAAACCGAACTCGACGAAGCGTAAACAATTGCAGGTTGAGGATTCGCAGACTTAGAAGCTTCTAGAAGAGTAACAAAACCTGCAATGTTACTATGAATATACGAATTAGGGTTTTGCATAGCGTAACGAACCCCAGCTTGAGCAGCAAGATGCATCACGTGCGTGAAAGGAACAACATCAAAGAGTTTATGGAGTAGATTAGCATCGTTGATGTCTCCTTCAACGACGAAAACACCGGCGCGTGAGAGAACTTTCTGACGAGCGCGTTTGAGGTTAGGGTCATAATAGCGGTTGAAATTGTCTAAACCGATGACGCCATCACCGCGTCGTTTGAGAGCGAGTGAGACGTGAGTACCGACGAAACCGGAAGCGCCGGTGACGAGAACAGTTAAAGATGAAGCGGAAGTGCGACGGGCGGATTTAGTGACCCGTTTTTCCCAAGCGGGTCCGCCCCATGAGTTATGGGTTTTAAGTGATGAAGGGGAAGGGGAAGGTGGTGAGAGGATGAAAAAGAAAATGATGAGAGCGAGGAAAATTGAAGAGTAAATAGTGAGTTTTGATAATCTGATGCGGTGGATGTTGTATGGTGGGTGGTATTTTTCTGGTTTTAGTTTACCGGGGGTTGAGGGTGAAGTGTTTTTGGTATCCATTTTACATTTCAAGGTTGTTAATTGAGAGCAATTGAGGTTTGAGAGAGAAGGAGAGGGATAGGGTGGGTATTTTGTGGATTTGGTTGGAGGGTTTTGACTTTTGAGTTTTGTTGACTTGAGTTTTGTTTTATTTGTGTTTGTTTTTGCTTGCTATTGCCCTTTAGAGTTTAGTTATGACTTATCACTAACTTGGCTTGTTTCTGCCGTTTAGAGGTTAATCATGAACACTGACTTTTCGCCTGCTTACCTTCTCATGACTTATGACTTTTCTCTAAGTAAAAAACGATGTGGGACTCCTTCTGAAAAATCACAATGTCATAAATGGTTCACACCTTCACACTACATGTAGGGTCTACCAAACCTCTTATTGAAGAGATATATACCCAGAACAAACGCTCACTGCTATGGTTATTTATCACAACCATTAAGCTGATACAAAATAGAAACAGTGGGAGCTTCACACAACTGGAACTACTAGTAGTAGTAATGCAGTGGCACAACACAAACTCTATTTCGTTTTGCCACCGATTGATACAATCTATCTATACTCTCTATTTCGTGTTTGTTTCAGTCCAGTTCCATTCAAAAGGCAATTTGCATTGCAATTTTTTACTACTAATTTAGCCTTTGTATTAACAAAACTATTCAGTGAGATGATAGAGAATATAAATCATCTATGTTTAATTCATGTAATGTTCTCCATTAATGCATAAAAGAAAAAAATGTAGTGAAAATAAACAAATGAAGTAGCATAAGGAATCTCATAAAAATCCATGTATAAAGAAGTGTAGCAGAGCTAAGAGTTTACTAAAACACAAAGAAAGTTTTGAAATAAATATCACGGTATCTCATGAAGCTGAGTTGAGAAACACAAGACAAGTTGAATGTTGGCGAGCTGCTCGATTCATTATTGCATGCACTTATTTAGTAAATTTTGTTAAAAAACATTTATATGGCACTTCATTTAACATAAATCATAGACTAATTCTTGTTTAAAGAATAATCATTTAAGGAGGAAGATGACTTTGAACAATTATTTTAAA